GGAATTTCTATCTGGGGAGAGAGAGAGAGAGAGAGAGAGAGAGTAAAAGAGGCAAAGAGGGATAGAGAGAGACTTGGAGAGACAGAGCAGGAGAGAGACAAGGCAGAGATGGCTAATGAATACAGGAGGCAGAAGAGTCTTCGAGATTCCTTTGAGAACATGGGACTGTGGCTCAGCAGGGTCCCCTGAGTCCCAGAACCACCCAGAACTGAGTAACACAGACACTCTCTCCCCAGTGCACTGAGTTTACAGTTATCTGAGGCTGGCTCCTGACTTGGCACATGGCACAGAGCTATGGTTGTAGGTTTAATACCTGTGGGGAGGCCAGTCCCCTGACTCTTTTCACCTCTTTCCTACATCAGTTTCTTGGGGGCCTAATATGTGCCAGATGCTGGGGATAAAGTAGCGACACTGAAGACACTGTCCCTCCTGCATGGGGCTCAGATTCCAGAGTGTTCTTCCTCCAAATGAGCCCCCCACCATCTCCTAGCACTGGCAGAAGCGAAGAAGTGAGACAGAGGAGGAAAGAAATCAATAGTGTGTTTCTGAGTCACCTTTTACTGAGGGTGAATGGGCCCCACCCCACCCCACCCCACCCCCAGAGGAAAGGGAGCTCTGAAAGTGGGGGAAGGATACAGCCCTCTCCACACACTCCCCCCAGCCCCCCAAGAAGGTCCCCTTCATTTCCCACACCACCAATGCCTCTGTCTCTTTCTGTTCCCTGCCAGCTTCTAATGAGCTCATTATCCTCTTAAAGCCCATTTGGCACCCACTTAGAGGAAAGATGTGTTGAAATATCAAAGAACAAGGAAGAAACAACAAAAAAAGGACTAGACTCAGAAATATCCTCAGAAGCAAAAAGCCACAGGGAACGTAACAGCCGAAATCTTTGCTGTCTCCACGGCAGCAAATGTGCTGATGTGGTGAATGGCTTTAAAGTCTGCTCATATGTGCCCGTGAGAGGGGCAGGGGGTGGGAGGGCTTTTCTTGAGCATCTCCTATGTGCCAGACATTCTTCCCAAATTTTTAAATTCAGTCCTCCCAGCAGTATATTTTGTGGGGGGAGGGAGTCAAGATTCTTAGTAGGCTCACTTTACAGGTGAGAAGAGGTGTCTTGCCTCAGTTATGTAGCTGATGGGCAGAAGAGGTGGATTGAGCTCAGGTCACTTTGCCTCCAGAGCCCATGTTCGTGCCTGAACGCCTCCACAAGGACTGGTGTCCTGCTGCCCATCCCCTGGGGGCAGCTGGCTTTTTCTCATCCTGGCCCAGCTGCAGAAACAGCTGGCACATGTGTGATCTATAAGGAATGCCATGCAGCACCGCCCACTGCCTGGAGGCTGATAACAGACTGGTCTTTGTAAAGTGTCCATGTGACCGTGAAATGTCAGTGGATTCCCATACACATTGTTAGAACACAGTCCAGATCCTGAGCTTGGCATTCAGTGGTCCAGTTCCTGCCCACGGCTTAGCTGCGTCCCCACCATGCCCAAGCTCCTTTGCTCCCTCCAACCCAATGATGTGCTCTTGTGTGTGCTGTTCCTCCTTCCTGGACTGTCTTCCTGTTGTTCTTTCACCAGAGACATTTGACTCCTTTTCTAAGACCTTTGACTCTGTTTGAAAGACCTGCCAACCCAAAGAGTCCTCTCTGGGGAAGTCCTCTATAATCCCCCCAGGCAGTTACAGATCATCACTTCCCCAGGCTCCCACCTTCCTGGGCTTCTCACCCCAGTGCCCAAAGACCCACTGATATTTTAAGCCGAAGTCTGGGAGCTTATGTGTAAGGGCTCTTTTCTGGGCATACATCTGAAGTTGTCAACTGATCTTCGTAGAGATACAAGACCAGAACAGACTCGTGGTTAAGAACACAGGCATTGAAGTCAGGTGGTCCTGGGTGTACAACCTAGCTTCCACTTACCAGCTGTGTGACCCCAGATAAGTTACTTAATCTTTCTGATACTCATTCCCCTTCTCTGTAAAAATAGATATGGATCTTCCTGATAGAATTGTTATGAGAATTAAATCAGAGTTTTTATGTGTGTAGAGCAGTCTGGCAAATAATAAGTACTCAATAAACATTAACTGCTAATATTAATTGCTGTTCTATATCCTGTACATACATCTACTATTGTTTTATCATTGTCAATTTAGTATAGCAATTGTTTAGATTGCTTTCTCTATCAGGCAACACTGAATTCTCTGAATGCAGGGACTCTGAATTATTTATTTCCTGCATCTCAGGCACAGACATAGTAGGCAATCAGCATATTTTTAAATGAATGGGAGAATGGAAGGATGACTGGATGAGTGGAGAATTGGATGGATGGATGGTCTGCTACAGTTCAGCCGGATAGATGGATGGATGGATGGATGAATATACCAATAGTGGATGGATGGATGGAGGACTTAATGAACAGATAGGTAGGGAGACTGATGGATGATGACAGATAGATGGATGGATGCATAGTTTGACACCAAAAGAGTATGGATTTTTGTCTGTTTTATTCACTTGTCCATTCCAAGTGCCTAGGAGGGTGACTGGTGCATAGTAGGTGCTCGGTACTTAGTTCCAGAATGAATAGGATGGCAGACTCTACCTCGAACCATAGTTAAACTCCCATGCCACTATCTGGATTAGGAGGGGCTGTTGCAATTCAGATCTTCCATGGCTGAAAATAGAGTCCCATGCACTGGCTAAGATTGTCGCCGGGCCCCCTGCTGGTGGTAATATGACATAGCATTGCCCGAATGGAGTTTGCTTTTTATTTTCTAATTTACATTCTATTTTTCCTCCTGGCTTATGATCCTGAACGTATTATTCTTATAAAGCAGTGGTTCTCAACCCTTTGTGCTTATTTCTATCATCTGAGGGCACCTTGTTACACCTACAGATTTTTGCCTCAGGAATTTTCACATTTACCACACTCCCAGTGATTCCAAATCAGATACTGCTCAGACCATACTCAGAGAGACCCTGACAAAGGGTGAGCCGCTGCCAGTCATTCAGAAGCAGTGGAGATGGGCTGCTGCTTTTGGGGCTGTCTCTGAGTGTTCAAGTGATGTCCAGGCCATGTAGGAAAAGGGCAGAGTCAAGAAAACAATGTTTAAGAACTATGGTTTTGGGGCCGGCCCGGTGGCACACTGCTACAGTGCGCCACTTGGGAGCGTGGCGACACTCCCGCTGAGGGTTCGGATCCCACGTACAGACCAGCCGCTCACTGGCTGAAAACAATGTTTAAGAACTATGGTTTTGGGGCCGGCCCGGTGGCACACTGCTACAGTGCGCCGCTTGGGAGCGTGGCGACACTCCCGCCGAGGGTTCGGATCCCACGTACAGACCAGCCGCTCACTGGCTGAGCGAGGTGCGGGAGCAACACCGAGGGCTGCGATCCCGTTGCTGGTCCCGGTCCGGTACGGGGGCGACACTGAGGATTGCGATCCGTTGCTGGTCACGAAAAAAGACAAAAAGAGAGAAAAAAAAAAAGAACTATGGTTTTGGATTTGGACAGTCCTGGATTCGAATCCCAGCTCTGCTACTCACCAACTGTGTGGCCTCAGTTTTCTCATCTGTAATATGGGAAAATAGTTACCCTTCACAGGAATGCTGGGAAGAATAAATACATGCAGGGGGCTTGGCACAAAGCTGGACGCACACTAGGCACTCAGTAAATACTGAATGAATGGATGTGTTGCTGAGTAATCCTACTTTCCTTCCTCGGATAGAGGAAAGGGGCTATGGATTTGATTTCTCCCACTAGAATGTGAGGTAAGGATTTTGTCTCTCCGGTTCACAGCTTTATCTCCAGCACCTAGGACAGCACCTGGTACATAGTGAGATATACTACGTCTCACTAAACATTTCTCAGGGAAAACTAAATAAAGAAATTTGGTCTTGGGCCGGCCCGGTGGCGCACTGCTACAGTGCGCCGCTTGGGAGTGCGGCGGTGCTCCCGCCGAGGGTTCGGATCCCACATACAGACCGGTTCCCGCTCACTGGCTGAGCGAGGTGCGGGCGCAACACCGAGGGTTGCGATCCGTTACCGGACACGACAAAAAGGAAAAAAAAAGAAAGAAAGAAAGAAATTTGGTCTGGTTCAGTAACAGCCAGGTCCAGCAGGTAGTTCAGAACTAGGAAGTACTTTTTGGACTTAAGGTAACCCACTAGTCAGTGTATATTTGGCAAACATAGGAAGTTTGAGGCAAAGTATACCGCCAGCCTATAAGAACCTCTGCTTGTCCAAGATGAAGTTTGTCCCAAAACTAGGGCCCAGTAGGATGCAAGCCCCCAAATTCCCAGTTTGGTTTAAAGGAAACGGCAGTGTTCTAGAAGGCTTGGGCCTGGACTTCTATCCAGCACTGACCCTAAAGTGCTTTGTGCCATCGGTGGGTTCCTCCCCTCTCTGGGCCTCTGCATCCGCCTAGAGGACGCTCAAGGACACTCTGAGTTCTGCGCTGCACCAAAGGGGCTTCTAACGCCTGTGTCTGTGCTGTTTTGCAGGTGGCAGCCCTGAGATCTGAGGCGTGACCAGATGGAGGCCCGCCAGCATCTGTCCCCACGAGGCAGGCATGCCCAGCTTGGTCCCCAGATGAGGAAGATGCCAGAAACAAGGCCCCCAGTGAAATAGTCCATTTCTGATGGGCCTGAGGAGCTGAGAAAGGGAGCGAAGTGAGCTGCAGCTTCTGGCGATCATCAGAATCCTCCTCCAATTGCCATTTCCAAGGTTCTTCAGGAACTCTCTGAAGTGAAGAACAAGATGTAGGAAAATGGGACCAACTCCTGGGTGTCCTGAGCCTCAAATTCCCTTTCTTGGACCAGAGAAGCTGCCTTTGACTTTGGAAAGGCTGTTAAGCTCAGTCCTCCTTTCTCTTGGCCTCAGCCAAGCACTGAACTGCCCCTTCCCCTCTGGACTTGGCACTCACCTTTGCAGAGGGAATAGGACTGAGGACCCCCAGGAGTTCCATCCCTAAGGGCAGCTTGAGAAACCAGACCCCCTGCATCTCCTCCTGAGCTCCCTGCCAAGCTCCAGAGAGCCAGTCCGGAATGATCCCACTATGGCCAAGCTCTGGTTCAAATTCCAGCGGTACTTCCGCCGGAAACCTGTGCGCTTCTTTACCTTCCTGGCACTCTACCTGACGGCCGGGAGCCTCGTCTTCCTTCACTCTGGCTTCGTGGGCCAGCCCGCCGTCTCCCAGAACCAGGCCAACCCCGCTGCAGGGGGCCCTGCCGAGGGCGCCGAGCTGCCCTTCTTGGGCGACTTGCATCTGGGCAGAGGCTTCCGGGACACGGGCGAAGCCTCAAGCATTGCCCGCAGGTACGGACCCTGGTTCAAGGGCAAGGATGGCGAGAGAGCCAAGCCGGGCGACTACGGTGGAGCCTGGAGCCGAGCCCTCAAAGGGAGGGTCGTCCGGGAGAAGGAGGAGGAGAGAGGTAAGAGCAGGGAACATCTGAACATGGAGCGGGCTGAGGAGCAGGGAGGGGAAGGGTCATAACTGAATGGCAGCCCGCAGTTTCCAGAGTGTAGTAGGGACCAGCTGTCACGCAGTCATAGCTATACATGTGTAGCAGGTTTCATTATCATCTCCATTCCAAAGAGGAGAAAATTGAAGCTCAGAGAGATTAAGTAACTTGCCCAAGGTCACACAGCTTTTACAAAGGCAAGTTTGGATTTGAATCCCGCATCTATTAAAGCTCAAAGTCTGACCTTCCCCTGTAGCCTTTTTCAGTTCTTGTTAATTACCCATGAGAATAAAAAGAGCCAGCATTTAGCATTTATTGAGTACTTGCTGTGGACCAGGTGCTGTTCTAAGCACTTTACATGTATTGAAATATGACCACAATTCCATTTTAAAGAGGAGGAAACTGAGGCACCGAGAGCCCAAGATTACATAACCACTAAGTTTCAGAGCTTCTGTTCCACCAAACTATCTCTCAGTCCACCATGCTGGGTCCCTCAGTGATGGTTCCGAGGGGACGCTATTGCCCTGGTCATATTCCGTTACATTTCTCAGCCTTTCACAGTCAAATAGGGCTCTTCTTTGTGAGTACATTACCTTATTTTATTTTTACTACACCTCATGGGTTTGGACAAGGCCTCTATGATCCTATGCCCAATTAACAGGAGTGAAAACTGAGGCTTAAGGAAGGGAGGACACTTGCTCAAGGCCACACAGCAGGTCAGTGACAGCAGTGGAGTTTAAATCAGATCCATCTGGCCCGAATGCTTGGCCCTATGACTGTCTCCCACAGTCCATTGGCACCCACCCATCTGACCAGCATGCTGGGGAGGAACCCGCAACCCCTGCAATTAATGTGATTAACACGAATGGACATTTCAGGAATCTGGGCCAGATGGTTTGGGAGAATAAACTGCCAATCAAGGCAGAGGGAAAACCTCGATAGCCTTTGTGTTCCCTGCCACATGTTATACATACTTACATTGTGATTCAACTCACAGAAAACCCGTTCTCCCACCATGGGAAAAGTGGGGATGATGGAGGGGACTCATCCTGGAGCACATCCCCCTGTCAATCCCAGCCTGCACCTGGCTCAGGAACCATTCAGAAGAACCTACCTTCCCACCCTCAGGATTTCCTAGACTTCTGCTTCTTCAAGAACCCAATGTTCATAGGAAGGTGAAGGAAAAGGCGGGAGGTGGCAGGACAGATCAGAGAACTTGGATTCATATTCCAGCCCTGTGGCCCATGCAAGTGGCTTCTCACACCTCAGTTTTGAAATCTGTAAAATGGGGATAACAATTCTTTCCTTCCAGCCTGCTCCTGAGATTTCAATGAGACAACAGTTATGAAAGCACCTAGCACAATGCATAGTACTGAGTAGGTTCTTAGAGCTGTTTGGGAAATGCTCGTGGCATCTACCTGGGGAAGGGAGCCCATGTTGTAGGCACAGGTGAGGCGTGAGGTACTGCACTGATGAAAAACTTAAGATGTGTCTTTTTTCTCGAACTTCTCCACTCACGAAGCTGCCTCTCACCCCAGCCACTCCAAACTCCATCTGGTCCTTTGAAAGCCCCAGCGTTTTCACATGCCTGCACCTCCGGATATGCTGCCATCACACTCGGGACAAATTCCAGACTCCCTGCCGTGACCCACCTCTCCATCCTCACCTTGTAACATTCCCTACTCCCTCACCACACTCAACCCCGCTGTCCTTTTGCTGTTCATTGAACACACCAAGCCCGTTCCTGCCTCAGGCTCTCTGTATACATAGTCTCTCCCACCCGAGATGCTGTTCTCCCGGATCTTTGCATGGCTCCCTTCTTCCTTTCCTTTTAGTCTCTAGTCAAACCCTGCCTTCCCATAGATTTCTAACTCCAGTGGCCCCACTTCCCACGCAGTCACGACCACATTCCCCGGATGTATTTTTGTCACAGCACTTACCACCATCTCAAAGCATCTTGTTTATGTGTTCGCTTCTTTGTTTATAGTCTGCCTCCTCTACTAGACTGTCGGCTCCTGGAGGACAGGGTTGTTGCATGTCCTGTTGGTCTGTGTTCCATCAGAACCTGGGGCAGCGCCTGGCACAAAGATGGTGTTCAATACCGACTTGTTGAATGGATGAATAAATGAATGATTATCCCTCTGCCTGCAGTACCTCCGCAGCTCTACTCTTCCTCCAACTCTCAGCTTTGCTCACCTCCAGGAAATTGTCCCTGACCCCGCTTCAGGCTTGATCAAATGCTCCTCCTTTATGCTACCTTATATGAATGGTAATTGCCTGTGCTCACCCAGGTCCCCTGATAGAATATGAATCCCTCGTGGCAGAGTTGATACATATGAGGTTACTTCAAAAAGTTCGTGGAAAAACAGAATTAAGAGTTAATAAAAAATCTCTCCATGAACATTCTGAAGACCTCTCATGTTACAGCAGCACCATATTCCTCATTTATTGTGAGGATGAAATTCTGCCACCACTACTACTAATGACAAAGATTACCATTTCTTGAGCACCTACTTTATGCCAGCCACTGTTCTATTTGCTTTTCATATATTGTCTGAATAAAATGATAGATGTAGAATGCTTATCACATCTTCTGGCTCATAATAATAGGTTGCAATAGTTGCTGTCATTATTACTAGCAGGAATAATAGCTAATATCTATTGAATGATCATTATGGGCTAGATCATGCTATAAGTGTTTCATTGCCTTATTTAATTGTCACAACTCAATAAGTTAGAGAATATTGTTATCCCCTTTCACAGATGGTAAAACTGAGACTCAGAGAGAAATCACTTACCCTGGGTTACACAGGTAACTAGTGGAGGAACTGAGCTTTAAAACAAGGTCTGTTTAATTCCAAAGGTTATGAGCCTTCTTCTATACCATGCTAATTACCCCCCACCCCCAGCCCAGCAATCTTATATATTTTATAAAATGCAAAGAGAAAAGGAAGAGAAAATAAGAAAGTAGCCCTGAGCCTGGAGCTCTCAGCAGGCAGCATTTGGAATCAGATGGTGTTATTAAGAAAACACAAATCCAGCCTGTCCTTGATTAACTTATTCGTAGTTGAGCGAGGAAAGACAACATATTAGATTAATGCTAATAAAGATGAGACACTTCTCTGACCTGACACTCCACTCATTTGGTTTTCTCCAAAGCTGGTGAGGGCTCTGCTTGATGCAGTGGTGTGGGTCTTGAGCTGTAGAGGATTCGCAGCCCATCAAGGACCACAAGGGAGATGAGAGGAGTTGCACCCAGGCTGGACTGAGGCTGGGCAGGAAGTCTGCATTCCTGGGCACAACTGATACCTACAATGTGCTAGTCACCTCGCTAAGTCCTATACCTCACACAGCCGTGTGAGAACCTGTACTTTGAGCAACCAAATCAGAGTACAAATCCCAGTTCTGCAACTTGCTGGCTGTGCAGCCTTGAGCAGGCCACTTCACCTCTCTGAGATGCAGTTTTCTCCTGGAAAAGAAAAGTACTTAACACCAGATAGCTGCGGTGATGACTACATAATGTAAATCAGTTGTGTCCTCTCTAAGTGCTGGGCACTGTTCTATGCACTTTACATCTGCTACATCACATAATGCTCATAGCAATCCAGTGAGGTAGACACTGTTACTAACTCCATCTTATAGGGAGGGAACTCAGGCACAGAGAGGTTAAGTCAGTTGCCCAAGGTTACCCAGCTGGAGGGAGGGAGTAAACCAGTATTTGGACCCAGGTGGTTTGAGTCTTACACCTGAATCTTAATTGCTACACCACCTCACTTCTCAGTATACAGAAAGTGCTTGCACAGAGTTTGGCATGCCACAAGTATTTAAAATGTGCCAGCTATTATTATTAATACTGTAATTTTGCAGAAAAAAACAGAAGTGCACAGAGGTAATGTGACTTGCCTAAGACCACACAATTAGTCTGGGGCAGAGCCAGGAACCAAACCCAGTTTGACTTCAAAGCCTGTGCTGTTTCTGTCTCCCTTGGATTACAGAAGGGCTTGGCCTGGCTGTGAAGGAGGATATGGGGAGATTTAATGTGTATGTTTGGAGGGGAAAGCAGGGGCACCCACTCCCCATCTCCTCTAGCTGAAGGTTCAGTGGCTGCAGGTTATTGGGGGTCTGCTCTATGTCAGGGACTGTGCGTCTGTGCTCTCCTTTCAGCCTCACATCACATAGAAATTATTGAGCCTCATTTCATAGATGAAGAAACAGAGGCTCAGAGAGGTTAAGTTACTTGCCCAATGTCACACAGCTGCTAAGAGGCAAAGCAGACTTCAACCCAATTCTGTCTGTGTCCAAAGCCCTTATTCTTAACCAATGAACTATACTATCTTTCTTAAAATATACAATACCAACTCCACTTGTTCATTCATTCATCTTATATTTTTTACATGCCTCCTATGTGCCCAGCTCTGTGCTGGGAGGTGCAGACACAGAAATGATTCAAGCACAGTTTTTCCCTCTAAGAGCTATTCACAGCACCTTGGAGGAAGATAGGCAGCTAAAAGGATAAATTATATTTTCAAAAAATAACTTTGTTCCCCATTATCAAAGTCACACATGCTCATTGTAGAAAAATTAAAACACACCAAAAAAAAAAGATGGAAATAAAAATGGTGCAGAATCCCACCACCCAATGACAGTCACTGTTGATTGTAGAAAAATTAAAACACACCAAAAAAAAAAAGATGGAAATAAAAATGGTGCAGAATCCCACCACCCAATGACAGTCACTGTTGGTGTATTATCTTCCTGTCTTTTTCCTTTATGTGTGCATTTCCAAGGCATATATTTTGTATGTATTGTATTGTGCTTTTTCCCATTAAAACACTTCTTCATCTTATTAACAGTGCTTCCACAGTGAGTCAAAATTATTTCCATTTTGAAAAAATAATGGATAGGAAAACTATTTAGAAAAGTGATGGCCTGAGGCTCTAGGACCCCAAGGAAGAGACCCCATCCAGTCA